TCGTTGAAAATAAAATTAACTCATATTTTCCTCATTTATTATTAAATCTCTAGAGTTCTCTATACAGATTTATCTCGCTAAAGACACCTTAAATCTTTCTTGTCACCTATAGTAGTAAATCTATAATTTTTGTGGCCTTCAGATGAACGATGTGCAAGGTCTCAGTCGTAGTACCTTCTTCACTAACTGTTGTCTTAAGGTACTCTTGTCCTTAAGGCTGTTTCTGAGGAGGCACGACGATTGGTGCAGGTCTGGAACGAAGATTTTCTGAAAAAGGACAGTAGGATGGAGAGCATGGAACGAGATAAAATCAGGTATGTTATAAGATTTATTTCTTTTTTTATTATTTTCAACTAACGTATTTTTTCTGTTGTTTCAGGTTAGTAAGCGTATATTTTTTGTACAAGGGATGCACATCGTGGGGAGTGCTCTGCAAAAAATGTAAGTTTATAAAAAAAAAATCCTGGTTATTTTTCCTGGTTTATTTGGTTGTTCGTTTATTTTCCTTGAGATGGCGTGAGCGCGGTCCTGCAGGAGCTAAAGTCACCTGTGGGGCCCCTCACAGAAGCGAAGCAGTGTGTGGAGTCGACCTCTACCGGGGCTAAAGTCCCCTGTATGAGCGTCCTCACAGAAGCAAGTTGGGTTGACTTCCGCAGGGGCTAACGTCCTCTGTGGAGGCTCCTCACAGAAGCAAAGAACATGCTTTCCTCTCGAAAGCAGCCGAGGTCCATTGGGGTTGTTATGTCTATCGGTCTTTTTATTGGGTTGTTAAGTCTATCAGTCTTTTTATTGGGTTGTTATGTCTGTCGGTTATTCAAAAGAATGTATTTGATAACTTCTAAATTTTTTTAATTCGCTTTTATTTAATTATTACTATTTTAGAGTAAACGCATGTCAATATCAAGCACTTCGATAGCTAAATGTTTAATACAAATAGTCTAAATTTATTTTTATATTTTCAATTTAAGTTCAGATATAATTCTAGGCCCCAGAAAAAAGGAATCAAGTTTTATAAGTTGTGTAGTGAGATTTTTATGATGTCACTATTAGTATTAATATTTTCTGTAATTTTAAACTAAATTTAAATAATCATCCTATTCTAGTCTCTGTAATGTTGAATCGAGGGTGCTAAAATAATAAGGATTCCAAGTCTTTTATTGTTTTAGTGTTTTCTTTTTAACGTTATTTGGGATTAGATTCTTTGTGATTTATACTGTTTCAAAAAAAAACTTTTATTAACTATTATTAATATCATTCTTCATATTATCTTAGTCAAATTGAAATCTAGACAATGTCTAACAGATTTTTTTTATTTTCTTAAATTAAACGTGTAGGTTTAGGTAATTCATAACTTCCTAATTTTTTAACTCACTTTCTTTTATTTATTACTACTTTAGAGTAAACGCATGTCAATATCTAAGCATTTCCATACAAATAGTTTAAATGTTTTAAACTTAATTTTGTATTTTCAATTTAAGTTCAGGTATGATTCTAGGGCCTAGAAAAAAGGAATCGAGTTTTTTAGTAGCGCAGTAGAAATTTTTGGGACTTTTTGAGGTCATCATTAGTTCAAGTTTAAATTTTTGAGGTCCAAAACTTAACAGGGTCATATATAAGTCTGGTTTATTTTCTTACAAGAGTATAGGTCTTGGCGCTCTACAAAGACTGATAGAGCCTCATCTATGAGCTTCCAGTTTGAGTCGACATCTTCAGATGATTTTTGCAGGGTGTTTGTGTCTTATAGCCTTGTTTATATATTCTTACTTATAGGTTCGCGCTGGTTGAAGATATACTTTGTTTGAAGCTGTATACAACAGGTCAGAGTCATTTCGGAGCCAAATTGAGGTCTACACAATCAAGATTCTCTAGTACTATCAGTCTTTGTATGACTCTCCAAGCATCCACAGCAGGGTCATTTTGAGTAGATATCTTTAGTTATCTGAATGTCTTACAGGTTCACATTGGGTCATGTTCAGTGTTTCAATTTTTTCAGCTCCAAGCTCTTCAGGGACTAACGTTCTCTCTATGAGCTGCACTGTAGGTATTGTGGATTGGTTGTTGTATATCCTTTTTTTCAGGGCGCTATATGTAGAATTTTTGGGAGGGTAGTGTTGAGTGTTGTGAAGAAAATATATAGTGATATATACTATACAGGTAAGACAGGGAGACGCGATATCCCCAAAGCTGTTTACAGCAACACTAGAAGAAATCTTCCGTCAACTGGACTGGAGCAATAAAGGATTAAAAATAGATGGGGAATATCTTAACAATCTAAGATTCGCTGATGACATAGTCCTAATTGCCAATAGTCCTGAAGAGCTACAAGCCGAAATTAACGAACTAAATACAGCCAGCAGTAAAGTAGGTCTCAAAATTAATGTATCTTCTACAAGCAAAAACTAAAGTAATGTACAACGAACTAGTAGACAGAAAAGACATTCTAATGAATAGCACAACACTAGAAATAGTAGAAGAGTAATTATATTTGAGACAACTTATACAGAGTTCGGGATCTCTACCACCGGAAATCAATAGAAGATGTAGCATTTTCACGACTTGCGACCACATGTTTACTAAACACAACGTTGGATTAGTTACAAAAAATAGTTATCTCCCTACCTTGGGTATTAAAATAAATGTAAACGTTTTTATAACGTTGTGCCGACGTTGGACTAGTACTACAGCAAAGTAGAATCTTCTGCGACGTCGAATAAACGTTGTCTTGTAACCTTTTTTGCTTAAGTGATCTTTTTTTTAGATAAAATCAATTGCATCGAAACTGAAGTGTACAAATAAAATATATTGGATGTCTAAGTAAGAAATTATTTTATGAAAAAAAACGTATAAATATGTGGCAAATTTGTGAATTACTTTGGTAAACCATAATATTTATTATTATAAGACAAAATTCTAGTTTATAATTATACAGGGTGTTTCAAAAAACATGTACCATCTCTCGTGGGGAGATTCCTCACGTAAAAATAAGATTAATTTTTCATATTAACATAGATTCTGCTTTGTTTCGTAATTACAGGGTGTTAAAGTCTTAATATTTTTTCGATTTATTATAATTTTCTTCCAAGTATTTTTAGCGTTTCGAATGAAATTTCGATGGTAGTTACTATATATTATATACTTTAGATTAAGTTACTATAAACGTGACATATTTTGAAGCTCAAAAAGTGTCGACATTCACCAGGGACCTGCATACGGGTTATAACTAGAATATTTTTCTAAAAAAAGCATGTACGCCACTGACTTTTTTTTTCTCTTGTTAGCGAAATAGTGCAACCAATTTAATGCCGATTAAAAGTTGTCTCTTGATATTTTGTCGATTTCGGCTTCATTGATGAGATAAACACAATTTTATTAATTTGCCTGGATCCAAGTCTTATAGCAACCTTTAAAAAAAATAATACCATAAACTTGCGAGAGTTTTCAATAAATATTCATTGAGTCCTCATAAAAAATATGAAAAAAAGTTCCTATAAACATGGGTATGGAAATACCTATGTTTTGGGGGTCGCGGAAATACCCATGTTTGGGGTCGCACCACTTTGGCACTTTGTGCCATTGTATCGGTTTGTAATCGCGGTGCGATCCCTTTAGACACACATTTATTAATATTAATATCATTCTGTAAAACTTAATGGGGTCTAATAAAGAAATTTGAATTTCAATTTGAAATGCATAGTTGAGTTACAGGATGTTAAAACTTTTTAAAATTAGGTTTTTTGTAATCATCTTAAATACCATTATTTTTTTATTTGAAATTGCTCTGAGTTGGACTAATAGTAATAATATTTAAGAATAAATTAAGTAAAATATATAATTTATTAATTTTATTTTTATTTCAATTTTATTAATTGTGATTTATAAAATTGTCTTCATCTCATCAAAGAGGTCGAATTCGACAAAATATTGGGAGTTAACTTTTAATTGGCATTAAATACACAATTTTGATATCAAAAGAAAAAAAGTCAGCGGAGCACATGTTTTTTTTTAAATATTCCAGTGATAACCTATATAATGTCCCTGATGAATTTATCGACACTTTTTCACGACCTTAAAATATGTAGCACTTATAGTAACATTTACTCTCAAAATTTCATTCGAATCACTAAAAGTACCTATACTTGGAAGAAAATTATAATAAATTGAAAGATTATTAAGATATTAACACTCTGTAGCTACGAAACAAAGGACAATCGGACCTATAATCTATAATGATATGAAAAAATAAATCTTATTTTCACATGAGGAATCTCCCCACCAGAGATGGCACATGTTTTTTTGAAACACCCTGTATTTTTTATAGTCATTATATCAATATTAATACTTTTTTCTTTTTTGTATCAAACTTCTAGGGAATATTTATCGGAAATCTGAATCCAATTATATCATCCTTCACCATAAAGTCAAGAAAATTTTGGAAAATGGAAAAAAGAAATAAATATAGGAGTAGAAGATAAAATGTTAAGATATTAGTATCAGCTGCCAAATTATTTTGGTTTTTGAAATAGCTACTCGCTACGGTGAGAACAACAATTATTACTTTATATTATTTTTTAACCGCTATTTACACACTCCTTAAATTATTAATGAGTATTCTTACCTATATTTTTTTAAATAGTTGCTGCTTTCATGGTTTGAATCCCATCTTCATGTTAATAAGAGCTAAAAGCACTATAAACATGCTCAAATAATTATACAAAGATATTTATTTATAACATCCGTTTTAAATCATTTTACATTATTTTTATTTAAATATTGAGACGCAATCTTTAAGCTAATAAATAATAAAATAATCAATCCACCACCAATATTAAAAAATGTACGTGTCATAAATAGTACGTATATCTGATCTGATGAAATAATCCATTTAAAATTTAAACGGCGCGGCATCCCCCAGATTTTGTACATTTTTAAAAGTACAAAATTTTTTAGAACATCCCTAATACCACAGCACTTATCAATTGACGTCACTGATGTCAGTCAAGTGTCAACTCAAGTTCAAGGTCCTCATTCTGTGCTTGTCAGTGAAGTCGATCGGACTGTTCTGATCGAAATTTCGACTTCACAACAATTTTATACTAAATTTTATTAGTATTCTACTATGTACAATTAAACACAATGAATATATACGAATTTCAAGCCGAAAAGTGATTTAGTTTTTTAACGTCAACGTGTGGCAAAGTTCACATTCTCATTTTATAGGTTAACTCCGTTTACTTTTATTTTTTTTTAATTTTTGAAAGTGAAATGAGGTTTGAAGTGAATAAGGCCTTAGTGCCTATGAAGGCACATTACTTTTTATTTAATGCAGGTTAGTGACATATTTTATTTTTGTTAGCTTTAGATATTTACACAATTTTTGGTGACCTATATCGCATTTTGTAATCAATCCCCAATTTTAATGTTAAAATGAATTAACAGGTATGTTATACTTGCAAATATTAGTTAATTAGTCAACAATAACTTATTAGGGTCACAAGTATATGTGTATGACCTACAATGTGATGTAAAATATTTAGAAGATCACATAAGATCTTAGTAAACCTTTATCTTGCTAAATCTTACCTAATATTGTACAAAGATTCAGTTTTGGATAATCTAATTTTATAATTCTAGAAATTCTATATTTTATTGGGATCATTAGAGATAAATAAGCATTTAGGTAATTACTGGGCTTATTTTAAACATTCCTTTACCTTAAATTTATTTACCTATAACATTTTTAAAATAAAACAATAACCCAAGTAGATTTAGCATAACAATTAAAGACAATAACTTGAACAATTTTTGTGAATTAAGATTATATCTCAAAATGATTAAATTTTTCTCATTATTAATTTGGCCTTCTAAACAATTACTTAACAATTTCGCAATCTAGACATCCATTCTTGCACTGAGCTGAGATGAATTAAATTATATTTGTCTTTTTAGCGTTTATAGTAGCACGCGTTTCTTTATATCTACTTATTTGATGAATGAAAGAGGCTTTTGTATTTTTTTATTGATGACAGGCACATATTTATCAGTTAACTACTATAAAACGTGTATTTATCTAGAATAGGCTATCTAAAACAAGTGTTAAAATGTTAATTTACATTTCTCTACAAGTACAAGAGCCGGAAATTTAAAATAGTTTTATAAAAAATGCGTGTTCCAAATTATTACTCAAAAATGTATTATATTACTATCAACTTTATATGTTTTAGATTACAATTATTGCTAAATAAGCATGTGTATGCCTATAAGTCTGACTTTAAAATTGCTTCAATCAATAATTATTGAATTGCACAATAGTGACTTGTACCTATGTTGTTATTTTAAGTTACTGTCCAATTAACTTATCTAGGTGACAAGTAATTTAAAATCATTTGGATTTGAATCATTTAACAGAATTTAGTTTTCTAATAAAAAATGTACCATGTACACACAGATGCAATATTTATTTTTTATTTTTATTTTTTTCAATGTTATATTTTTTTACTTTTAGCCCTATTTTCATGATTTTTTTTTTAGCAAACTGTATACAGTGTGGTCCGAATTGTATTCCAGAAACTTCGGGAGCATATTATAAATGTATGTCCTAAAATGCTTAGTTTCGGAGATACAGGGTGTAGAAGTTTCATTTTTATTTCGATTTTTGCCAAATAATTTCTGAAGTAACGTCAATATTTGGATGAAAATTGGTGTCTGTTAGTTTTTTGACATGAGAAATTTGATTTTGATGTCATTATGACTCCTATTTGTAGAGGGCGCCACCTACATGTGTTTTAACTGTTTTGAAGATTAATAACTTTTTGTCCGTACCTGTATAGAACTGCTGAGTAAAAAAATATACATTTTCGTATTTTTTACGTAAAAAATGTCTCTTGGTAAAAATCGTCACGAGCAACCCTTCTCGAGATATTTAGAATGGGAATAGTCAATACATGTCATTATTGACAGAAAATAAACATGTTGAGTAGATAATTATTTGATTAAAAAGATAAATTTGGAAAATTTTAATTTTTTTAAATTAATCATAAAATGATGATTGATGATTTACTTAGTAGTTTTATACAGGTACTGACGAAAAGTTATTATTCTTCAAACCAGTTAAAAGTATGTAGGTAGCGCCCTCTACAAGTAGGAGTCATATTGACATCAAAATCGAATTTCTCATATCAAAAAACTCCCAGACACCAAATTTCATCCAAATATTGACGTTACTTCAGAAATTATTTGGGAAAAATCGAAATAAAAATGAAACTTCTACACCCTGTATCTCCCAAACTAAGCATTTTAGAACATACATTTATAGGAACTTTTTTACTTAATTTTATCTGCAGAATATGCTGCCGAAGTTTCCGGAATACAGTTCGGACCATACTGTATATAAATTTATCAACCTTACTTCATAAAATCAGTTTTTTACATATTTGGTTTATTATACAGGGTTAATTAAAGGGTTGTTTTTTTACCCTAACTTTAAAACATCCTTTGCAATAATTTCGTGAGTAACTTTTCCTAAAACATTATTTTTCGATCAGAACCATGTCTCCCGAGCATTTTGTTTTTTGACTCATGTCAACCCATGCCTTCGTTAATTTTTAAGAGCAAAATGAATTTGCCATCAACAATTTGCAATTTTTTCAACTATCATTATTTTCTGATGATATTTTTTAATATCACGAGTAGAGTTGTGCTTTGACCGAGATTTTGACAGATTTTGACCGGCAAGATTTTGACCAGGTCAGGTCAAAATCTTTTAATTGGCGGAAACCGAATAACAGGTACTGACTTGCCTAAAGCACTCGCGACGCGAAAGAATAATTGTTAGTTGCTGTTTTAATGTTGACTCAATGAGTTCAATGATGACTGTGATGAAGATGAGATTCTGTTGTCTAGATTAGCCTGTGCTACCACCACTCATTAGTATTTTTTTATTGCTATTATGCATTTTTTTTCGCTACCTCAGAATGGCTTTATATTTGTTTAAAAATTATTAGTCTTGTTCGGTTCCTGTCTTTTTTGTATCATTTAATGTAATGCAAATGCAAACAAATCGTACGATAAGTTACCGCGTGTGGACCACGCTTTACATTTAAATTAATATAAAATTTTATATAAAACTTTTAAATTTAATTATCATTTAATGTAATGTTTCGTTTTGTTGTATTCCTTAGTTTTTATTTACTGTTTTTTAATCACTAATATACGTATAAATGTAATTTCTCCTACTATTATTTTTTTAGAATCACGAAAGAATTTGACTGGTGCTTTGTCAATTGACCAGTCAATTGACTGGACAATTGACCACAAAAGATTTTGACGGTCAAAATCCCAACTCTAATCACGAGATGGCTTTGGTGACTACTGTCGTACTGTCATATCGACACTGATTAGTACTCTATTTTAAATTTTAAAAAATGTTAAAAAGTAACGATACAGGCTTGGTTTTAATAAATATTACTAACACTAACAGAACTAAGGATATTAAAAATATAACTGTAATAACTTAGAATACAAACAAACAAAAAACTTGTAAAAATACTCTAATACTTTGTATTGCCTCCCCTGGCTGCTATACACGTCGGTTCATATTGTTAATGAGGCTGTAAATATATTGTGTTATGTTTTCCCATTCTTCTTGGAAGACCAAGCGAATATGCATACTTTCGGTCATCTTCAACAAGATAAATTTAAAACTGTTGCACAATCTTCGACACTAAGAACAATGTTCAATCGTACACAATAAGCCACCTCATTATAAAGAATAACATCAAAAAGTAAAGATAATTGAAAAAATTGCAAAATGTTTGTGGCAAGTTCATAAAAATTGCTCTTAAAAATTAACCAAGGCATGTGTTGACGTAAGCCCAAAATCAAAATATTCAGGAGACATGGTTCTGACCGAAAAAATGTTGGGTGTTTTAAAAAAACAGGGTGTTTTAAAGATAGGGTAAAAAACAACTCTTATATTAACCCTGTATAAGTCAAATATTAAAGTTTGTATTAAACTGAGTTTACGAATTAAAGTTGAATATATGTATACCGGGTGTTGCATCGTCGGACGGGACATAGGAAATCCCATGTAAATTTTAATGGGGTCAATTATTGACTTCCCTAATTATTTTAGAGAATAATTCTATTTAGATTTATTGAAGAGCATAAAACCCACATTCAAAAGAATAACTTTAGATATTTTTGATTAGCCCGTTTACGAGTTATCGCCGATTTCTTTTTAAATATTTCTCCTTTCTTATGGCCCTGTATTTACTTATGAGTACCAGTCAAGGTAAAAGATAACTGTCAAATGAAGTTGTCATTTCAGAGGTTTACCTCGTTTACCTATTTAGTGCTTCATTATTATTGAAAACTCATTCCTACATCGGAAATCTTAAAGATGTATTTATAAATACAAATTAATATGAATTAAAGTAAAATAAAGTAATCAATTACAAGGTTAATTATAGTATTATTACAATATTCAATAAATTATTAATTTAGGTACTATTAAATTGTTAGAACTTTAGGACTTAAGAAGATGTTCAAATATTCCTCCATCGACTGCTAGACAATAACCCAGGCGATCATAAAATTCTCTTCTTACATTCGCTAGTTGGTCAACTGAAATTCTATTGCATTCGGCAGAAATAGCATTTTTTAACTCGTCTAGATTAGGGTATTTTTTATCCTTGTATACCCTGTTTTTTAAATGGCCCCAGAGAAAAAAATCATTTGGCGAAATATCACGAGACCTTGCTGGCCAATTTACTGTATGATTTAGGCCAATAACGTTTCCGTTAAAACTATTGTCTAAATATTCCCGAACAGCCAGGGTACTATGTGCCGGGCAGCCATCCATTTGGCACCAAACTTCCTAATTTTCCCTAGCGGCATCATGTAAAGCAGGTAAAATATGATTTTCGAGTAGTTTCAAGTAATATTCTGCATTTAAATTTCGCGTAAGAAATAATGGCCCGATAATGTTGTGTCCGAATATCCCTGCCCAAACATTTACTTTCTGTGGATATTGCATCCTTGTTTCGACAAACGTGTGTTGGTTTTCTTTGTTCCAATATCGATAATTTTGAACATTGGGTTCATTATTTAAGGTAAACGTGCATTCGTCAGTGAAACATATGTTTTTAAAAATTCCCTATCCGTGTTTGCTCTTTCCATCATATCAAAACAAAACGCCTGCCGCCGTATTTCGTCCCCATCTCGTAGCCCTTGGTGCTTTTCATATTTGAAGGAATAGTATTTATGTCGTTTCAAAATTCGAAACGCTGTAGTGTGATCTGTTCCTATTTCATCCTCAAGTTTCCTTGTGCTGATCTTTCCATCGTTCTCTTCCCCGCACAATAAAACTTCCAAGTCGGTATCATTCCTTGCATCTTCTCTTTGTTTCTGCCTTGCTTCACATCTGCAGTTATTTATTAGGGTCCTTTGGTCTCAAATCTCTGGATATTCCTTGCGATTGTAGATTTTCCAGGTATCGGTCTATTCGGATACAGAGCAGCAAACATGTCCGACACCTTTTGATAACTATTTCCTTGATAATACCATTTAATCATCAATACTTTTTCTTCGGTAGTGTAATTCATGGCTAATATTTTCGATGTAGGTATGAGTTTTTAATAATAATAATAATAAAGCACTACATAGATAAATTTCTGAAATGACAACTTCATTTGACAGTTATCTTTTACCTTGATTGGTGCTCATAAGTAAATACAGGGCCATAAGAAAGGAGAAATATTTAAAAAAAAATCGGCGATAACTCGTAAACGGGCTAATCAAAAATATCTAAAGTTATTCTTTTGAATGTGGGTTTTAGTGGTCTTCAATAAACCTAAATAGAATTATTCTCTAAAATAATTAGGGAAACCAATAATTGACCCCATTAAAATTTTCATGGGATTTTCTATGTCCCGCTCGACGATGCAACACCCGGTATAGAGTTTGCTAAAAAATCAAGGAAATAGGGCTAAAAATGCAACATTTTAAAAAACAGACCGAAAATTTTACGTTGCGTCTTTTTGCATCTGAGCGTAGAATAATAACATTTAATTCATACATTGTACCTTATACTTGTCTAAGTCATTTTAGGATGTATTTATTTCTAAATAGAATGCATCGGTATATTATAATGCAAATGAGAAAGTTTCGTAAACATTTAGCTTTAATTTTTTTAGTTTATAGATTTTGCTTTGAAAATTGAATAATTGAATATTTTGATATCTCTGTTGCATAATATGATAAAACAACAAACTTGAAAATACATTCCAACCAAATAGTTCCAATTGAAAATATGATAAACTTATTTCTGGAACGATACCAGGAGCGATCCAAATGTTTACCATCAATGTCCTGTTTGGTGGCAATTAGGGGTTTCCGGAACCTGGAATTTCACGGTTTTGTTTATACTTTCGGTACTGACAAATTTTTGTTCAATGATGGTGCAGTTCGTCAATCAGCAAGCAAAGGATGGTTTTCAAAAGTAAAATCCATAAAAAAATGAGTTTTAAACGAGTGGGACACCATATATCATTCATAACAGTGACGGTGATCTGTTATTTGAATTCAAAAGCAAATCGATCGTTTCTTCCAGCAGATTTTAGATATTGTCTGTCGAAATCGTCTCTTGCATCGTTAGACAGACTAGTCGTACGAGTATAAGTTTTTAGATGATCATTAGTTCTGCTCAACTCATTAATAAAATTTTCTTTCATTTCTTGAGACTTTTTTTGCTTACTTGTATATTTCAATATTTTTATAACTTTTACCATTGAATAGACATAAAAATTTTAGGATTTTTTGATTTTCCAATTTTTTCCATTTTTTTGAACCATATTTAACGGCATTACAATGTACGTAGTAAATAATATTGAAGATACCAAATGTGTAAAATACGCTTTTTTAATTTTACTTGATCAAAATTGGAAATTTTATGAAGGTACTAAAAAAATAAAACCCTTGCAACAGAATTCTTTCTTCCAAACGTCTTATTAAACCTGAATTTCTTATCTTAGAATTTATTAAAGTCTTATTTTTTATGGGATATGTAAATATCTACGTCATATATGTTTATGTTTAATAATTACTTAAATAATTGCAAAACTAGACTCTCCATTTCGTCATTTTTTTCTTCATTTAATTCATAGAATGATGCTGTAATTTCTTCTAAGATTGCAGCTACCTATCACACCAACTTTGTAAACTTTTCTACTGAGTGGTCGTTGGGACCAAGAAATCCAATGCAAATTTTGAACAGTTCAAATATTTACTCCCTTGTTGATTCTACAGCGTGTGTCGTAGACAGATTTTTTAAAGGTCTACCTGTGATAAATACACCTGTCACCTGTCAAATTTGAACAACTTTGAACAAGCCGATTTTAACTAATTTAAGTTTTTTTTAATTGCTTTTATTTTTAAACTAAAACTGATCAGTTAATAATGCAAAACTAGATAAATGTCAGCATACCCATAGACAAACAAATAAAAAGAGACTGACAAATCCCATGGTAAAGAGTGGGACCGCGTTCCCGTAGCGCAACTCAGAATAAGAATTTTGAAACCAATTAGCAGAACCATGGCAGCAGGGGCGTAGATAGGTGTATGCTATGGGGGTGGTACTATGATTAAGTCGCAAAAAAAATCACCGTCGGAATTTTTTTGTCCAATTAAAACGACGGCGATTTTTTTGTCTTCAAAAAGATATAAAAACATAACACAAAAATTAAAATATAGATTTGTAAATAACATACACAAAAATGAAACAACGACGTTTATTAGTTAATTTTCTATAAACTATAAATAAAAAAATCTAAACTATCAAAAAAACTCTAAAAACCCAGGCAGTACCCCCCCCCCTTATCTACGCCCTTGCATGGCAGGACGTACGTCTTTATTGCTTCTTTCTTTATTATGTGTGCTTTATATGAAAAAGAAAGAGATAGGTATAAAACGTATCGTAAGACATTATCGCACAGTCTGGCTAGCGGAAATTTTAAATTAGCCATTATTAGTAGTATTCTCTCATTCTGAAACTGAAAATTTTCACTTAAACTGATTATACATAGTCCCTATACCACGTAAAGGGAACGTGGTGTAGGGAATAAATCAGTTTAAGTGAAAATTTGCAGTTTCTTTCAGAACGAAAAAATACTACTATTATAAGGGAAATTATAAAAAAGCAAAAATTGTACTGTTTTATAAACATATTTATTTATACATAAAAATAAATAAACTTTTTATAATATAATAACAAAAAATAACAGTGTTTATTCCACCCACCTACCAATTTTAAATCCTGAGAACTGACTGTAGCAGGCAACAATCGGCCAATTTTTTTAAAGGGCATTAAAAATCTCATTTTCGATAAAACTGTCTAATTGCAATAACAAAGTGAATATCCAAGCAAAGAAGACTTTACGAGAATCATGATCCTGAACCATTTTCAAGTCCAGTTTTAGTCCTAAAAGAAAAATAAAATAGGTATATTAATAAAGTTTCTGGTTACTATAAACCAGCTATAAACTACCTACCCAAAAAATGGTGTAATTTGACTTTAACTAATTTGGTGTAACTATATAGTCTATCCATAGATAACAGAAACCAGTTTAGATTTGGTTTGGTTGTAATGCTCGGCTTGCCGCCAAAACTTATAATTGTTTTGGAGCGCATACGTTGTAGGGCGCTGCTATAGCGGTTGCGAAGAACAACCGCCAAGCAAGAACAGAAATGATTTTTTCTTGTCAAAGTCAGAATCTTCAAAAATTATAAAATGTTTTAAAATTTAAACCGCTCTCATTGAAAAAATACCTAAAAGTGTTTAAAGCGTCCATTTTCAAAGTAATTATTGCTATCTTGTTAGTTTAATTTAAATTTTATTTACTCAAACCCGCGATAACTGTGAAAAAATGGCATTAAAAACCTAAAAAGCTGTGTGAACTGTGAACTGCAAAAACCATCGTGGATCGTGGCATAACATCGGTTTCATAGGTATTTCATACATGTCCTTATATAAAATAGAGTTTCTTATATGCAACACACTGTATTCTATTTAAAAAATTTAAAAAAATAATAAATTTGAATAAACAATATTTGGCGACATAATTCCGGAAAAGCCGAACCGCTCCGAAATTATCAAAAGCTTTGGAGAGCCACCGTTGTAAGGATAGCTCCAAATAGTATTTACTTTGTACTGATGGGCACTTTCCAATCTAAATTTGTTTCTTTTATTTATGAGAAAATAACCTATAATAACACTTAATTGGAGATTAGTACACGTTCTTAAGAGTGACTGTTGGTACCAGCAAATTCATGTGATTTTCAATAAAATCGTCTGTTCCTTCACTTTTCCTCTGATTCGGACTCCAGAGACTCTAAAGCGTTGTTACCTTAGATCCCTACATTACATTTATACACGTTTAAAAAAAGTTAACATGTCGATAAATTAAATACTTGAAACTTATTTTTTTATAGGAACTGGTCCAATTGTTCCTTACCTCTCAGTCTATGCCAGACAATTGGGCTTCTCAAGTGTGATAGTAGGACTAATTTATACCATATTGCCAGTATTTGGCATGATTGCCAAACCAACGTTTGGAGCTATAGCCGATAGGTTCCACTGCCAAAAGAAGATATTCTTGATAGGCAAGTATTGTCCTTATTTATGTAATTTAAGAACAGATATAATTAAATTCTTATTAAAACACTCAAATGATGCAAATACAGGGTGTTTCAAATAACTGGTGCCGTCTCTCGTGGGAAGATTCCTCACGTATACCGTGCGTCTCAAAAGTGGCTCACCCCTATAACTTTTTTATTTTTTCAGATAAAAAACGAGATTTGGTATGTTAGTATATGACATAAATTGGGATTAATTGACGTATTCAATTGTTTTCGGTCACTTCCTGTTTTACCGGAAATGACTACAACTTTTGATTTTTAAATGGCACCCCTGGTATTTTTTTACTTTATTCGATAGAAAATAACACTCAGAATAGAATGACATATCATATATCAACTTTTGACATTTTTGTATATGGTTTATTTGAAATTACAACTTGCGGTTCGTAACGAAAATTTGACTTGAAATACCAAGTGTGTGGTATCAAATTATTCGTAAAAATTGCTTTTTCGAATAATGCTAATGAGCCACCCTCGTTCCATTTGAAAAAATTGAAATATGATTAAAAATACGATTTTGGCATTTTTAACCGGCCAGGATAAGACACTAAAAACATTTATCAAATCTATTTTTCCAAGGCTCCTTGGTTAATAATTAGTGTTTTAAACATAACCATGGCACTCTAGATTGACATTTAAAATACGATTTTTTATTAAGCGGGAATGTCAAAAGTTGACATATAATACGTCATTGTATTCAGAATATCATTTTCTATCGAATAAAGCAAAAATATACCGGGGGTGCCATTTAAAAATCAAAAGTAGTAGTCATTTCCGGTGAAACAGGAAGTGACCAAAAACAATTGAATACGTCAATAAATCCCAATGCATGTCATGTACTAACATACCAAATCTGTTTTTTTTATCTGAAAAAATAAAAAAGTTATAGGGGTGAGCCACTTTTGAGACGCACCCGGTATGAGATGTGTTTTTAATATCAACATAGGCCCGATTCTGCTTTGTTCTGTAGCTACAGGGGTGTAAAATCTTTTTTTCGATTTATTATAATCTGCTTCCAAGCACCTGTAGCGATTTGAATGAAATTTTGGGGGTGAAAGTTACTTTAATTATGAAATAAGTTAATGCTAAAAACATGCATATGGGCTATCACTGAAATAATTTTCTAAAAAATATGTACGCCACTGACTTATTTCTCTTGTTAGCAAAATTGTGAAAGCCGTTTAATGACGATTAAAAGTATTATGTTGATATTTTTAAAAGTATTATGATGATTTTTTTATTTTGATTGCCTTATGAGTTAAATGCAATTATTGTATTAATGCTAATTAATAAAATTAAAATAAAAAAGTATAAACTATTTATTTAATCTAATTTATTATTTACTTTTATACAGCAAATACCAAAAAAATGTATAATTATAAAAGACGAAGAATATTTAACATCCTGTATCTTTAAAATTATGCATTTCTGCACCCATGTTTCAATCAATAAGTACTTATTTAACTCTTTGGCCAGTTAATGGCATTAAAAAAAAATATTAAACGTTGCTATTAGACTTCGATTAAGGCAGATTAATAAAAGTTCGTTTATCTCATCAAGAAGATCGAAATCGACCAAATATAAAGAAACAACTTTTAATAGGCATTAAATGGCCTACACAGCTGTGCTTACCAGAGAAAAACGTCTTGAAAAACGTCGATGGCGTACAGGTTATTTTTTAGAAAATTATTCCAGTAATAGCCAATATACGGGGTGGTCCGAACTGTATTCCGGAAACTTCGGCAGCATATTCTTCAGCTAAAAATAAGCGAAAAAGTTCGTATAATAATTGTATGTTCGAAAATGCTTAGTTTCGGAGATACAGGGTGTAGAAGTTTTAGTTTTATTTCAATTTTTTCCAAATAATTTCTGGAATAACGTAAATTTTTATCCAATATTTGGATGAAAATTGGTGTATGGGTTTTTTTTGACATGAGAAATTTGATTTTGATATTAATATGACACCTATTTGTAGGGGGCGCCACTACATGTGTTTTAACTGTTTTGAAAAGTAATAACTTTCCGCCCATACCTGTATAAAACTACTGAGTGAAAAAATATACATTTCCGTGATTTTTTGCTTAAAAAATGTCTCCTGGTAAAAATGGCTACGAGCAACTGTTCTCGAGATATTTAGAATGGAAATAGTCAATACATGTCATTATTGACAAAAAATAAACATGTTGAGTAGATATAGTCTGTCCAACGAGAAGATCCTTGACAGTGATAGATGTGTCTGTCATTTTAATTTCAAAGTAGTTTATTTTATTTTTACAAAGAAATAAGTTGGTACAACGTTGGTACGCATAGCAGGAAATTAATATATGTATTTAAAATTTGACTGACAAGTAACTTCAAAATATTGCGAAAAAAACTGTATAAACCTGAAAAAATGTAATCGAATTATTTTATTTAATAAAAAACGGTATGTGTTAATACAAAACAAACAGAAACAAGACACCACATACCAAAAAATATAAAAAAGAACTATTTCTTACTTTCAAGGTTTATGAAATTTCCCGCATTTATGATTATATTTATCAATATAATTTATGTACAAATACAAATTTGTAATATTCCGCAGGAATAAATAAAACAACATAAATAAAACAAACTATTTTATTAATAATAAATAACACTTACCAAATTTTATACTTCACAGGTTGATTAATTAACTTTAATCTTAATTTTTTTAAACCAGTACCTTTTGACATTATTTTTCTGCAGTACTAAAATCCATTATTTACCTATCGTGTGATGTCGATATTTTACAGCTACTCCAGTTTTTAGTATGGGTTTTGTGTGTATGGTCCTTCTACCATATTCGAGATGCATTTATCTACGACGAGATGGTATACGAACTTTATTGATAGTAACTTTATTGGTGTATCTGTTTCAGACTTTCTGCCTGGGCAGCGAGTATTAACCATAAACTCAAATAAACTGTGCTCTGGGTTCTACAGTTAATTTTCACTCGATTTTTCTTCCACTTGACTTCAAAAGACACAAAACACACGTAATAACACGAATCAAAATGCATCATCTTCTAAAACGCAGGGTATTTGACACAAGTTGTCACAAAATTATAACCTATATTTGGCAAGACTTCGACAAACGTCAAAAATCTAAAGGCGAGTTCATACGCATCGGCGTCCGTTTGTCGTTCATCGTTCCGTCAAACCAATAAAATTGAAATACGATCTGTCATTTTTGAAATAAACCAATAAAACTGGTTAAAAACAACAAGTGACGACGCATGACGAATTTATATTTAAACCTATCCATAGTTAACTTAAAAATTATTAGAAACTTTTTTTAGTAAAATAAATAGATTAGTATGGGACGTCATCTGTCATTTCTTCTGTCATCATCTGTCGAAATCTTACCTGAGAAAAAAAACAGAGTATAGTTATTTGACTGAAATGATAAATTTGGAAACTTTTTATTATTTTTTTTGAATTAATTATAAATTTTTCTTGATGATGATAAAACAGTTTCTGTTGAACTTTTGGCACAAAAACATTTCAAATTTGTAATTTCAACCTATTAACTATTTAGTCAACATGTTTAATTTATGTCAATGATGACAGGTATTTATAATTTCGATTCCAAATATCTCGAGAACCATTACTTGTAGCGATTTTCACCAAGAGACCTTTTTTACGTAAAAAACGTCGTAAATGTATATTTTTTTATCCAGTAGTTTTATACATGTACGTACGAAAAGTTATTACTTTTCAAACCAGTTAAAAAATATGTAGGTGGCGCCCTCTACAAGTAGGAGTTATATGGACATCAAAATCAAATTTCTCACGTTAAAAACCTACCAGCCACTGATTTTCATCAAAATATTGACGTTACTTCAGAAATTATTTGGAAAAAATCGAAATAAAAATGCAATTTCTGCACCCTGTATCTCAGAAACTAAGCATTTTAGGACATACATTTATATGAACTTTTTTAATTATTTTTATCTGCAGAATATGCTGCTGAACTTTCCGGAATACAGTTCGGACCACCCTGTATAGAGTGGTGTAGTCCCTGGTGAATCTATCGACACTTTTTTAGCAAGCATATTAAAATTTACCACATTAAAGTAGCTTTCGGCCTCAAAATATCATTCGAATCGCTACAGGCGCTTTAAAGGAAATTATAATAAAAAGAAAATTGACCCCCTGTATCTACAAAACAATGTATGATCGGACCTATATGGATATCAAAAATAAATATTATTTTCCACGAAAGATGGCACATGTGGTTTGAAACACCCTGTATATTACTATTATTATTTTTCAGCACAGTTAGTGACTGCAGCAGCTTTTTTGTCGATTTTTCATTCACCTAAAGTGCCTCAAGATGTATTGGTGAACTTGTCATGCGACAATAATACTACTACCATTCAAAATGTAGCCGGCATTAATATTGATAGCACATTAGTGGCCAAAATTAGCGATAAAAACGTTTTAGCAACATGTGAGGTACATTGACATTAAATTTATCATTTAAACTTCTTTTTAATTTAGCCTTCCTTTTCTTTTAGTTGAATTGTCCACTAACAAGCACAGATAGAGCGACAGTATGCAAAGATTGGAACTTGTCAGAATACTGCAGCAGTTGGGACCAGAGATCCTTCCTTATATCAGTTCCCATGTCGAAGATCTTACTGTTCACTACCGGAAATGATCAAACGTCCCTTGAAACTGTACAGTTTCTGACCAGTAAAGTGATTGTGGACGATAGAGCTGTAATACCTGTTTGTAGCACCACTAGGGTGGACAGTGTGTGTAGTTTAAAATGCAACGAAAATGATATTAATGTATTGCTTAGTGGAAATGAGGTAAGCAGGCTGTGATATTGACAGTTTAAATATTTCTAATCTAGATACCCATAAGATTTGTTTGCCCCTCATCATTCACACATATGTACACTGGATTATAAGACTATACAGAGTGATTCACGGCCATGGCACGTTAGAAAATTTATATTTTTGCATAAAGGCACTTGCTCCATGCTCCATTGGTCTAAATTATTTTCATCGTGACCAGTGTTGCCGCTTCATACTAAAAGTGATACCATCTTAGTTATTTTAAATAGAACACTCGATATATTATTTTTTGAAACTTCTTCCATATTTCAAAATTTTTGAAATATACTGACCTGTACCAATCTCTATAGTTTTCGAGATAAAAAATAAACCATGTGTAAAACTGACAAAAACCTGATCTTGAATAAGCATTGGGTTAAATAATAAATTCGGCATATTGAAAACTAAATTTGGTTTATAGGTTAAGGAAAGTCGATATATACCATCTGTCTAAATCAACTGGTTGGATATCAAACAGGGTACCTCTTCTTGACCACTCGCATTTTCAAATATCGCTCGCATATCCGAGAAAGCCATATAACAATACATGTAAATGCGCATAAGCAAAATGTCAACGATGTCAAAAATAGCACCGCAGAGAGGTCACAAAAAAATAATTATTTCCGATTGTTATAAAGTTCTTAAAATTATTGTTATTTTAAATTCAAGCCTATGTATATTAGTTAAAAAATCCAAACCCAAATAAAACTGCTTTTCAACGATATATTATGTTCCTATACCTAAACCTTCTGGGTTGTTCAGTAAAGCCATCTAAAAGATAATAATAATTCTATTATAATTGTTTCGTTTAAAAAATATTGTTACCATCACAAATATTCTAACTTTATAAATATCAATTAGACTTTTCGTGCTAAATTTATAAAAATTGTCATGATAACAAAATTGTTGAAATGAAACTATAATAATAGAATAATTATAAATTTTTAAATAGTTCTGCTTAAGAAACCGGAAGGTTTAGGTACAGAAACATGATATATCATTGAAAAGCATTTTTATTAGTATTTTGGTTTTTAAAATTGGGTGTTTAAAATAAGAAAAATGCTACGACTTTTCGAATGATGCGGCAACACTGTGATGCTGAAAATATTTTAGAAATATGGAGCAGGTGTCTATGTAAAAATCCATTTTTCCACCAATCACCGGTTCTCCATAAACGTCTAACGTGCCATCGCCGTGAATCACCCTATATAATTTTACGGCCAGTGGCAACAACGTAATTAATTATAAATAGGTCTAAATAGATTTTATAGGGTGTGCCATTTAAAGAAATACAACTTTGATATGTTATATTTATTTCGGCCCCTCTGTACCTTTTAAAAATAATCAGTAGAGGGTTAGAGTTGGGCAGACTATATTCTGATTTAATTCACAGCGACTAAAGTCTGTCCAACGAGACAGTGAAGATCAGTCATCCGCAAATGACAGAAAATTTACTTTATTTGTCCTCACTGTTATTGGAGAGATTTTAGTTTCAATTATGTATTAATTGATGGAAGTAACTATTAATTTATTACTAATTTTGAAGTGTTTTTACCACTGTATTCCAGTAAATAAGAACACGAAAAGATCCAAGTCTCGGCATAATTCGGCGAGCTTGGCTTTTTAGGCGGAGTAGTTTTAGGGGAAAAATTGTACCACCGACCGTCTGTAACGACGTCTTTGCCCCTTGATGGTCTAGGGCACAGAAGAAGAAATAACAGAAGCCAATCTCTCGTCCGTTTCCATATAAAATCAGTTTCAACCGCTGGTGACCAATCTATGCGGAAACGAAATTGCCATGAGCGCGCGTGCTATACTTTGATTTAATAAAATTATTGCTAAAAAACGAAATGCAACATAGTTTTGAATTCTACGGACTAATTTTTAGTCTATAAATTCTTCAGTTAAATTTAAAGTACTACCACCAAGCCAAAGTTTACAGAATAAAATATACCAAGCTAAAATGTTTTACTCCTTAGCCAAGCAATCAATAATATTTTCTTATCTACCGGATCGAGTAACATAAACAGTCAGCGGTGCAAATCTAAAAAAAGTTCTGAATAATATTTACCAAAGATCCAAATACCGAGTGAAATGATTCTAGGGTGTTTGGATATTCGGTAGTCGAATATAATAAAAAATACGGTTGGCCGATTGACTGAACTGTTATTTTGTAAATATTTATGCATATTTTGTTTATTATTTTGTGGATAAAAAATGTTTGTATGAGTAATCTCGTTATTTAATTTCACTTCATTGCAAGTTCTGTTTTGAAACGTTTAAGCTGATTTAAGTTCGAAAATGCAACCTACATATTTTTAAATCCGGTGTTTAACCATAGTAAATTTTTGTTATTTTTAATATAAAATTCAATTGAAATGATTAAAAAGTACTCCCTCAATTCAAAAATAAATGCAACGAAGTTACAATTAAGGAATAAATAATAAATCAAATTTAATACATATTTCACTGGTTTGAAATAACGCGTAGAAAATTGTGACGTCACCAATCTGTATTTGACTGAATAGTTGACAGAGGGCGCGAGCCTCTGAAGAATAATATTATGGCGTGTCTAGTTCTCTGCTACCGTATTTACACCATATATCTTAAAATCACGTTAGATTTTTCTATTTTTATTAAGATCGTTAAAAAATACGTTTTTATGGGGGATTATTCTTTCTTACCCCAATATTAAATTTACTTTTATATTTTTTGCTACTAGAAATTAAAACTTAAATTTTTATAATTAACAGGTAACTGCCATTTTTATCGAAGCACTAAACACTACCAAAATTGTTCGAGGCCTTCGAGGGTTCGAGGTTAGATTTGTATTTTGTGGATTTTGCGTTTGGCGTTAAATACTTTGAGTTTTCAATTTTGTTTTATTGTACCATCAATATTATTTTTGTAATGAAGTGTGTTAAAGTTTGCTTTGTGAAGGGCTGTCTAAATAACTCTGAAGGCTCTCCAGAAAAAGTTTTACTGTTAACTAAAGTTTAAACAGTTAACTAAGTTAATTGTTTCTTTGGATGGAAGCCGTCGAAGAGCGTGGTTTGAAGCGGCAAGACAACAAAATATGTCAGCAAAAATACGAGATCTTGCTGTGAAGATAATTTTAACGTAAGTTCCTTAAGTTTTATTTTACAATTACTTTTATATCTACTTTAAAATACATTTAGAAAAATGGTTTTTATTTACCTTTGTACCTGGTGGGAAACCGTGACACTTTTAATAGGTGACGTCAGAGATTGCAAAAGTGTAAATTTGAAATTCTTAATATTGATTATTTTTTTTAAAAAATTGGGATGAAATTGAAGTAAAATAAAAAAAATACGGGTGTCATAAAATTGTATGAAGATTAATTATTTGCAATAAAAAAATTATGGTTAAATTCCGGATTGTTTAGTGGCAGTCTTGATAGCCCGGATTATTCTAGAATTGTATGATATAGCATTTCGTTGTCAAAACAATGTTAATCAAAAAAAATTATTGAAATTATTAATTTATAGATCTCTGTCGCTCTGAACTTCCTGTTTATCGATTTTAAGCTTAGATTTTAAGGTATATGTAAAATAATTTTATTAAAATGATAAGAATATGTACATTATTTTTTAATGTAAACCTTTAAAGCTTAAAATGCTTTTCTCGGCGGTCTAATCATCCCCGTCGCTGCTCCACTGGCGAATTTCGGTGAAAACTCGGAGGAACGGGCGACTCAAGGTCCTGGCGGCCTCGCCTTAGCAACGATGAGAGATATCCTTCTAGTTATTTTTTCCTGTAGTCTAGGGGCTGTGGTACATGACCTATGAAATTCTGTATGACAATGCTTGTGATATATGACACCTGCACAAAAATCTGGACAAATAAGCAATTATTAGTGAAAATACCGTGCTGGCAACTGTTACTTTTGGGTCGGCATTTACATGTGTGGAAGTAAATTGCATGGGGAGCATGGGAAGTAAATTCACGCACAGCGTGCGACGCGCGACGGTGTGCTGTTGCGGCGTTGCCGATACGCCTTTCCCTATCAAGTAAAGTAAAATCAAGATCGCAAACCGCTTATTTTTAAAAGACTTTTTTTTTCAAGAGATAACTAGATAAAATCATTAGACATGTTTCTGAGCATCTGAAATGGAATTATAAGGATATCGTTAAGGTGTCATTTTTTTTATAACGAGAAAACGTTAGGAATCGCGATAATTTAAAAACTTAACTTTTTAACACATAACAGGCCATAACTCAAGAATCACTTTAGATATTGATATTTTTTTTTTATTTTCAAGATCGGATATTTTACAATATTTTTACATAAGAAAAATTCGATGAGGTTGTTTTTTCCATTCAAAAATTGTAAACAATCCATCCATTTACTTTTATAGCATAGCAATTTTCAGCAATCGTGTAATTTTTTTATTGATAAAGAATTTCACATACTGTCTACAAAGAAAATACAGCAGAAATATTAACAAAGTTCTTGAAAAAACTACAATTTATTATTTCTAATAGATTTCGAGATATCGATTTTTGAATTCAGAGTTCTAATTGCGCGACCACTATCGAACACCCACTCAATTCCACTTATTTTTACCAAATATGCAAGTGTTTCTAGCTTGCAGTTAAAAAAATTCAAGCTGTAGGGAAAATTACAACGATTCATTAGTAAATGGACAAATTAAGTATCACGAGACGTAATTAAATCGTGAAGCTGAACGCATGACGTACACCTTTCCCTAGAACTTTAAGTACTGACAGAGGTATTGATTGGGTCGACCGGTCAACTGCGACATATCTGCAGAAGTGTCTAGCCCTAGCAGTCAACTTTTAAGCTTGACCAATCAGGTTGGTTAGCGTGGTTATTGAAGTTATGAAGTGTGTTAATTCATTTGTGTTTGTCAAAAAATCTAACGTGATTGGTCGGGCCTAATAGTTGCCTGCTAGGGCTAGACACAAGTCAAATCTGCCATATCCCCTTCCACGTCTCTTAGCGATGTGCACAGTTTCTTGGTTTATTTCATATGTTTTGCAACGTGTTTACTGTCCTCTCTTTGTTCAGTACATTATAAACGCATTGTACTCTTCTTACATACGGAAATCTCGACCCAAGACTAACTTTTGCCAGCCCTTAGTATAAATAAGTTTATAAAAATATGAAAATTTTTGGGCCAAGGAATGGTTTGCCCGGTTTTTTTATTATCATAAAATATGACAATAAAATTCAAACAAGTTCCAAAATGTGATAGCTGTTGATTCTATCTTTTAAATGAACTTTGAATCATCAAAAAATATAAAATTTTAGCCGAGTTATTGAACAATTTGTCCTATCAACCAATGATACGCTTATGAAATCTCCAGAGCGTTAAGACTTGGAGAGAAAATTTAGGGATCTTCGAGACGGAATATCTCGAAAACTACTAATTCTACATAAAAAATGATAAGGACCATTTTTGTAGATAATTACCTAAGGTTCATTTTTTTTTCAAGAAATTTTTTGTAAATTGTATATTTGCGAGCACAGTGTTTTTCCCCTAATAATACTCCCCAAAAGGTACACAATCCGTCTAAAACGCTTCAACCTTTATTTACTAGACTATTGATTCACTTAAAACTTATACACATATTATATAAATAGATAAAGGACTCCGATGTGTATGGAATGTATCAATTTTGGGTCTTCCTCATTTTGATGATAATTTGTTGGTTAGGACAAGCTGTAACAGTTAGTATTGGCGACGCAATCTGCTTCGAGCTATTAGGTGTGACGTTCAAGATTAACAAATTATACATAATTTTTAAGAACGAATATATTTTTACAGGTGATAAACCCAACAGATATGGATACCAACGAATGTACGGCGCCTTAGGATGGGGTATTCTTTCATCTATTGCCGGTATTATTGTGGATATAATGAGCAAAGACAAGGCTGAGACTGATTATACCGTTTGTTTTTATATGGCAGCTGGATTTTTAGTTTTAGACTTTTTCACGTCCATGTTCTTGAAGGTAAATTGTCTCTTGAATAGCTCAATTTACATCCACACTTATATATTTTTAATTCTAGTATCAACAAACGAAAATGTCAACGAGCATTCTTAAAGATGTCGGAAAATTATTGGTAGACGTTAGAATCGTCGTGTTCCTGTTATGGTGCATTTGCGTAGGCATGTGTACCGGTCTCATGTGGAACTTCCTTTTGTGGTTAGTGGAAGACCAAGCTAACGCCTTAGGTATCGGCAATGTCAAGACAATCCAAGGCGTGATCATGGGAGTGCAGTGCTTAGGGGGAGAGCTTCCATTTTTCTTCTTATCTGGAAAGATTCTTAAAAAGATTGGCCACATCAATGCCATGTCAGTAGTATTGGTCGCATTAGGGATTCGATTTATTTTGTACTCTGTTATTGAAAATCCGTGGTATTTTATACCGGTGGAGTTCAGTAACGGAATCACCTTTGGTCTGTTTTACGCTTGTATGGCGTCGTATGCTAGTATTGTGGCGCCACCTGGAACTGAAGCTACTATGCAAGTAAGTTTGATTTAATTTTATTTTAGGTTATTTTTTTATTTGAAGGATATTGCCGGTTGCTACTTTTTTAAATAATAACCCTGTTAGCATTGAACTACAAAAACTATGTTTTTGAGGTACTTATATAAATACATCAAAATTAATATATTTCTCTGATGGAATAGACCATTCCAGAAAACGTGACTTTGACAGATCCGCCATTTTCACTAGGAGGCATACAAACCGTATACAAACCATTCATTTGCATTCATTTTTTTTGTGTTTTTAATATTTTATAGCGTTTTAGATATATTTTCTTTAATTTCTAATTTTCTTTATTCCTCAATTTTCATTATCCTAGAATCAGTAGTAGCCAGTAAGCGAGGGTTTTTGGGTCCGAATTCTGAACACCTGCACCTATTGGCGTGAAATTTTAACGTGAATAGAGATATATGTAAGAAACAAAAGTTACATAGTAGCGGTGTGTGCTTTCACCCTGGGGGTAAGTGCCACCCCTTCTGGGAGGTGAAAAATAAATCACCCATTTTAATTGCAAAAATCAATAAAGGGATGAATTCTAAGCAAAACATGTTCTATAACTTCAGAAAATGAATATTTTCCTAGTTATTTAGGATTGAAAATGTTGTTTTTTCATCTAAAAACTGCATATTTTTCTGCCATTTTTTATAAATAACTCGAAAACCTTGTGTTTTATCGCAAAACTCGTATAAAGCAAAAATTAAGCTTTTGAAATAACTAAACGATTCATTTTTTGTTGATTACCGTAGGTGTAATAATAGCCGAGTTATCACTATGTAAAGTTGATTTCTTATTTTTCGAAAACTAAATTGCAATTTTTTACCGTACAATAATGGCGAAAGAACACAATTTTCGAAGAAAATGAATATGACCATTTTGAAAGTGCTTGAAAAGACCTTTTAAATGCCTTTTTTAAAAAGTTCATAGCTCAAAAACTCGCGGAGTTGTGATAAAAATAAAATGGTCGCCTCATTTTTTGTTACACAACATAAAATAATATGATTATGGCAAAACAAATATTTATTTACCCGTTATTGGCATTTTTAGTAACATTGGATTATGAGAATACACTCAATTATCGTATATATTAGTGAAGAAATCTAAAATTTTTATTGTTAAATGAACGTAACACGTTACAAACCATAAATAACATAACTACAAAAAACACTGTGACACGTTTAGCAAAACATTTCAATTAATGTTAAGTATTTATAATAATTGAAAATACATAATATGTAATTATAAATAATCCTCAGTGAAGTCAGAGTCGTCAGAATTTCCAACTGAAATTAGCAGAGATTGTACTGTCTCCTCCAAGAGGAGATTGTCAAGATCCCACGTTTTTTGCTCCTCTTATCTATTGTGGGCTCATTCAAGGGCAAAACAATTTATTTTATTAAATTAAAAAGTCGGCTGCTGGAATTTGTAAAAGTTGTAGCCCAACTTTTATGGCCCCAACTCTTCTCGCTGTGTTATCAGCCATTTTGAAATAGACTATAAAATTGATCACCGGTGGCGGACATCGGTGTCGTGTCTGACATAGCTCTAACCACAAAACACATACACAAGGAGAAGTGCGAGCGCCTTGCTAAATATTGGAAAGTGAAATTGACGTTTAAATTTGACACTGTTGACAAGTCTACTGCTACTAGCGCCCCCCAATATCGCTTGTAGGAACTACGGACTAAATTGTCACGCATGGCGGGAAGTTTAAAAAAATAAAAATTTTTAATTCTTCATTTATTTTTAATTATGACATAGATAAAAACACAAAAAATACACCATTTTTTAAAAATATGTTTAATATCAATATCAAATATACAACAGAAATGAATTTCACCAAAATAAATTAATAAAATTAATAGAATAATGTTACAAGTAGATCAAGAGACAAAATTAATTATAACAAAACTGAAAAAAATGGCGTCATAGATGGCTTAGAAATGAAGATATATCTATCATAATTTTGAAAGTAAAATTATATAGGAAATGTCATCGATCATCATTTTTAAGCCAACTGGACGATTATTTCAAACATACAAGCTGAGTTCGTTCATAGTGCTCTTAGAAATCTAGATAAACAAAGAATAATAAATTAAAAGTATTCCAGGGGAAAAGAGAGGAAAAACTTGTATCGTCTCTGATATCTGTCAGAGTATTGTTGAAAGTGTCATCTTTTTGCTCGAAGTTTTCAGGTCGATTAAAAAGATGACATATACAACAATACTTTGCCGTAACTTTCACAAATATCAGAGAGAGAGTACAGGTATTGCCTCTCTTTTCCTCTGGGATGCTTTATATCTGTTGTTCTTTGTTTATCTATATTTCTCAGAGCATAATACCGAACACGACTACAGTATATAATAATTTCAATATCCTAAGTGGAAAGAAAAAAGATCACCTTTCTGTTTTGTACTATGGTCCCTTTCTTCCGATGGCTCATCTCGTTGATATTTAGGAAGGTATCATCGGTCCTGGGATGAAGAAATATAAAATTCAATTTGATTTGATGATCCTTTTCTGTCACCTAAATCAGGAGAATGACAATGAGCATGTTAAGATGAAAAAAAACTTATTTATCAACACTCACCTACACGTTAGTCCAAAGAGTTTTATCAAAAACCTATATTTGCCTAAATAATTTATGTGTTAAATTTATCAAAGCAAACTGCAGCGTGTAAACAAAAGAAATAAAATGGCGACAAGTCAGCGTCAACGACCCGACAAGGAGAAAAGTGGTGTTCGAATAACAAATTATGGGTCACCAAAAATTGTTTTTGTCTTCTTTCAACGCACACTTTAAAAAGAAAAAGAGATGAACTGTTATACTGAAAGAATATGAAGGTTTTATCTGTCACTCTTGTCAATAATTTATCGGTAAGGAAGATTCCTAGAAAATCGCTTGTAGTCAAGTTTTCAACCATTGCCAGTTCTCCCATAAGAAGTGTCATCCACCTGGCTCTAACAATCGTATTCACAGTCGACCGCCAGCCTCCCGCTGGCGGTAGCTTTCCCGAAATTCTTCGTTTATATTTCATAGTCGAGAGCTTTCCGAGTAACGCGTGCGCACATCCGTCATATAAAGTAACCGCTCTCTCGCCGGCGGGAGGTTGGATTTTTTTCCGTTTCATAGTCGATCTCCGGGTGAAGAACACTTGCGCAGTTTAAACCCCATCCGGTGATTTTCGGCCGGCGACTGGAGCATGTCCTTGCATGCCCTTACTTAAGGTCTATAAAAATTTATAAACGTAATAAAAACGAATCCATAAAACTTTCAAATAAAACCGAACAGACCTATGTAAATTATTAACTTAATATCCTTTTTATTATGACCCAAAAATATACCTAGCCAAAAAAATATGTATATAAAAAATTGTAAATCTTTTTACTATAAGTGAAGGATTACGAAGATATTATTCATTACTTTAAAACGAATTATAACAAAATAATGGACACATCAATAAAATATTTAAATTACCCAATATCAATAAAATATTTAAATTATTAATGTTTAAATATTTAGAGAATGTTAAAGTTTGTATAACCGATTTTGTGTAGAACAAGGAAGAAAACATGTTCCCTGTTGTTAAAACCCTCCACCCGAAGTGAAATTTTGTTGGCGACGCGCCGTCATTTTCGCCAGCCAGCGGTGCGCTGGCGGCCGACTATGAAATAGCTTTTTTTCTCTCCCGATATTGAAGCGCTCGCCGGAGAAATCTTCGGCGAGCTTCTTTTCGGCGGGCGGCTGGCGCTCGACTATGAATACGGCCGTAAGACTTCTACCTGAGCCGAGACATATTTAGACGTCGAAACATGAAATAACACTATTCGGTTTGGATTAGTGGATTAGTACGCCAACCTACGCTAGTACTCTAGTACTATAGTGGGCGTTTGAATGTTTAATGCACATAATGATGAAATATCTTGTCCATAAGCGTATTTCAAACAGAAATTGTATTTTTTAACAGGGTATGGTAGGAGCCGTATTTGAAGGAGTAGGTGTATCTCTAGGGAGTTTCTTGGCAGGTCAATCGTTAGCACGCATAAGTGGACAATTGACGTTCCGGTACTTTGGCATTGGAACCTTGGCTGTTTGTGTGATTCACTTGATCGCCCAACGGCTTATACTACAAACGAAAGGTAAAGCAAACGTTGTAAGTACGGATCACAAGGTCAAATCCGAGTCATCGAGTGTTCTTGCACCTGTTGAGAAGGATTAAAATGTTGGTTGCAGTATTATTATTCTAATATTTGGTTGATTTGTTTTTTATTAATGTTATTTGCTTTTTATGTTGTGTGGTTATAACAAATTGCACAGAAAAAAAAAAAGAACAAATGTTTAGTAGTATGTAGACACATATGATAAGAAATAATTGTTATGGTAATTTTCTTTGTTACAATATTAAAGTTTTATTTGGGTAAATAAATGCTGTTATATTTTGATCAATAACTCATTCATCAGTAACAAATTTTATCATGAATATTACAAAAAGACACTGTTTAGGTTGTAATCATTAGTGTACACCTTTTGGGGGTGCATCACACCGCCACATTTAACAGGACTCTTTTTGGACAACAGAGCCTCATTATACACGGTGCCCAATATTCCGTGGACATAGAACTACTGCGTATTTTTTAATCAAAATTAGTTCATTTGACACAATTTACCTCTATACAAAAGTGATTTGTTTGTCCGTTAGAGAGCATCAAACTTTAAAAAAAAACACATTTTTAAGATCTTTTAAGAACCGATATTCCGATTTGAATGAAATTTGGGGTGCCTATATTTTGCTAAACGCTTGAACATTTGACGCTCACAGAAAAAAACAAGAAAAAGTACGGGAAGGGTGAAAACTACCTCCATAAATTTTAGTAGATATATTTTCCATCTGCACTGACGATCGATTTTTTTGTTAAGTGGTCTTTCTAGTAATTACTACATTTTTTGTCTCTTCCAGAAAACTCCACCGCGCATCCTTTTTGAGGAAAAAAAATATTTTTCCAAATCTGACTTCAAAAAATGTCTCTTGTTACATCAAGCTATGTAGGCGCATAAAATCTATGATGCGCTAATAATGTATTTAGCGAAAACATAATTTTATGTTAGTATCACAAATGATATTTCATAATAAGCTTCATAAATTTTAAATTAATTAACGTTCGGTTTTTTTATTGGTGCCGTCTAACGGACAAACGAAGTACCGTATGATCGAATAAAAACGGCGTCAGCGATGGCTATGAAATGAAGATTGTTGTAAAACTAGCGTGCGCGTCGAATTAATCATTTGTAATGGTGATGATAAAGCAAAGCAAGAATTTCCATTAACATACAAACTGGATAAAATTTTCTCACATTTATGTCCCGCATGAGAAAAAACAATATGGCGATATTATTATATAACTTGGTAATATTTGAGGGGTAGTTTTATCTCGTTGGAATTTGACTTTCGAAAAATCCGTTTGCCAAAAATAAGCTTTTTACGTCAAGCAGTTTAAGCAGAATCGTGGTTAATCAATTACTCAACTTTTTGGAACACCCTGTATGATTTTTTAAAAAATTTCAAAATATGTAAAAAACAAAATAAATTATGCATGTCTAAGCGTTTTCCCGAAAGACTAACCGTTTTTGAAATAACAAATAATGTAATATTTGAGGGGCGTCTTCACCCTCTTGGAATTTGAGATTCGAGAAACCCTTCTTTATCGAACCTCTACACCTCACAGTCAATCCGTTTGCCAAAAATCAGCTTTAAACGTCAAGCAGTTTAAGCAGAATCGTGATTACTCAATGGTCATATTTTATGAAACACCCTGTACAATTTTTTTAAAAACCTTAAAATATGTAAAACAACAAAATAAAATATACGTGTTTAAGAGTTTTTCCGAAAAACTTACCGGTTTTTAAATAAAAAATATTCTAATATTTGAGGGGTGGTTTCACCCCCTTAGAATTCGAGTTTCGAAAAAAAGAACCCCCTCTTATCGAACCTCTACACGCTAAAGTCAATCCGTTTTCCTAAAATCATCTTTTTACGTGAAGCTCTTTAAGCGGGATCGTGATTAATCAATGACCAGATTTTTCGAAACACCCTGTATACATTTTTAAAAAATCTTAAAATATGTAAAAACCAAAATAAAATATACGTGATTAAGCGTTTTTTCGGAAACTTGCCGGTTTTAAATAAAAAATGTTGTAATATTTGAGGGGTGGTTTCACCCCCTTGGAACTAGAATTTCGAAAAATCTGTTCTTATCGAACCTCTACACCCTAGAATCAACCTGTATGCCAAAATTGAGCTTCTTACGTTGAGTGGTTTGAGCAGGATCGTGATTAATCAGTGAGTTAGTCACTTAAGGATTTTATATACTAAGGGCTGGCAAAGGTTAGTCTTGGATCGAGATTTCCGTATGTAAGAAGAGTACAATGCGTTTATAATGCACTGAACAAAGAAAGGACAGTAAACACATTGCCAAACGTATGAAATAAACCGAGAAACTGTGCACATCGCCAAGAGACGTGGAAGGGGATATAGCAGATTTGTCGCAGTTGACCGGTCGACCCAATCAATACCTCTGTCAGTACTTAAAGTTCTAGGGAAAGGTGTACGTCATGCGTTCAGCTTCACGATTTAATTACGTCTCGTGATACTTAATTTGTTTATTTATTAACGAGTCGTTGTAATTTTCCCTATAGCTTGAATTTTTTAAGTGCAAGCTAGAAACACTTGCATTTTTGGTAAAAATAAGTGGAATTGACTGGGTGTTCGATAGTGGTCACGCTGTTAGAACTCTGAATTCAAAAATCTATATCTCGAAATCTATTAGATATAATAGATTGTAGTTTTTTCAAGAACTTTGTTAATATTTCTGCTGTATTTTCTTTGTAGACAGTATGTGAAAATCTTTATCAATAAAAAAATTACACGATTGCTGAAAATTGCTATGCTCTAAAAGTAAATGGATGGATTGTTTACAATTTTTGAATGGAAAAAACAACCTTATCGAATTTTTCTTATGTAAACATATTGTAAAATATCCGATCTTGAAAATAAAAAAAAGTTTCAATATCTAAAGTGGTTCTTGAGTTATGGCCTGTTATGTGTTAAGAAGTTGAGTTTTTAAATGATCGCGATTACTGACGTTTTCTCGTTATAAAAAAAATGACACCCTAACGATATCCTTATAATTCCATTTCAGATGCTCAGAAACATGTCTAATGATTTTATTTAGTTATCTCTTGAAAAAAAGTCTTTTAAAAATAAGCGGTTTGCGATCGTGATTTTACTTTACTTCATAGGGAAAGGTGTATCGGCAACGCCGCAACAGCAAACCGTCGCGCGTCGCGTCGGTCGGTCGCATTTCTCTCACTCCGGCTTAATGAGATCCCTATGCGATTTACTTCCACACATGTAAATGCCGACCCAAAAGTAACAGTTGCCAGCACGGTATTAGTATAGATTATATGGGAAATGTCATCGATCGTCATTTCATAGCCATCGTTGACGCCGTTTTTATTCGATCATACGGTACTTTCGTATAGAGGTAAGTTGTGACCAATTAACTTATTTTGATTCAAAACTAATTGTTTTTATCTTTAAGTCAAATGATAGAGCGCTTAGCAAAACATAGGCACTCCAAATCTTATTCAAATCGGAGTATCGGTTCTTAAAAAATGTATTTATTTTTTTGTCCTGTTTGCCTAAGTTTGATGCAACGAACATGTTTGGACAAACGAAGCATTTTTTGTGTTGAGGTAAATTGTGTCCAAGAAACTTATTTTGATTCCAAAAATACGCAGTAGTTAGTTCTATGTTCACGGAATATTGGGACACCCTGTATATTTAAAAAATTAATTTATTTTAGCTCTTATTAGTTAACATCTTGTATAATTTTACTTCCATATCGTATAAAAGCATAATAACAATAAGTGTTATTGTGTGACATTTATAATTAACACATAAAAAAGGTCATTTATTTGGACAATCTAATTTCATGCCATTCAGATAACAAGATAATACAAAATGCAAATTAAAATATAACTGTTTGTTTCATGTGATTGTTTAAGTTGTTTAAAAATATCAAATAAAATGTTGTTTTACAACACATTGAAATCAAATGTAATGTTTTCATTTTTAAGACGAGCATTAAAATATCAAATAGTAAGTAAATGTGATTTTAGATTTACAGTAATAAAAATATACTTGTTTGTGGTTTCACTTCAATTTGCATATTAATGAAGACTGGGAATTTAATAAATCAAGAATACTACATAGAACAGATATTTTTTCTCATTCATTTACTAATGTATATCTGGTTGTCTGATATGATCAGATTTCTCAAGAATATGATAATTTAAATCGATTTTAACATGAAAATTTATAATTATTAAAGCATATACAGGGTGTCTCAGATTTTAATCGAGAAAATTTAATAGACGATAGAACTTGCAAAAATAAAACAAAAAATTCATATCAACTTATAAGATTTAAAGTTTCCTTTTCGAGATACAGGGTATCATTAAAATACCAATTATAATATTAATTACCAGTTAGAATTTATTTTTTTTCGCAAAAAGTAAGCAAGATAGACAAAAAAGTTAGGAGACAAAAAAATAATATTTTTAATTACTAAATCCAAAAATAATATTAAATTTCTAAAAAAGCACTGGCATGCCTATTTTTCCTTTAAAATAATTTAACAGTGATGCCCCACCGCCGCCCCTGGCCATTAAACTTAAATCTAATTACATTAAATTAAGTCCCATAGTAAGTATTATAAACGGGTCAAGTTACGAGTATATCAAAATCGATGAAATAGTTTTTTAAATATCTTAATTTTTTTTCTTTTTAAGTAACTTTAACACCCTGTATCTCGAAAAGGAAGCTTTAAATCTTACAAGTTGATATGAACTTTTTGTTTTATTTTTGCAAGTTCTATCGTCTATTAAATTTTCCCGATTAAAATCTGAGACACCCTGTATACTCAATAATTTGCACTGAGCGATACATAAAATTCTAATCTAATTATGAGATAGGCAAGGCTAAAATAAAAAAAAAGAACATCAAATATAGGTAAAGAAATTTCTATTTTGTATGCTAAATATAAGGGGTAAAAAAGTAAAAACATGAAATAAAAATTCT